GTGTCCACGGAATGCTGCTCAGTGTTTCCTTCATTTTTTGGAAATCAGCTCTCCTAAAGTCCAAAATGCGGGTTTGACTTGTCTTAGTTTCGGCCTTCCTTTGTACCTCAAATTGCAGGAGCACATGGTCACTTGCCCCTAAGGATCCTACCACTTCGACCGCATCGATCAGGTCCTCCGCATTTGTTAGGATGAGATCAAGAGTAGCCAATCCCCTTGTTGCCTCTTCTACCTTCTGGACCATGAAATTGTCTGCAAGGCAAGCGAGGAATTTGTTGGACCTTGTACTCTTGGCCGAGTTTGTTTTCCAGCAAATATCGGGATAGTTGAAATCGCCCATGACTATTACATCTCTTTTCTGTGCCTGTTTGGTCAACTGTTGGCAGAAGACTTCATCAAGTTCTTCCTCCTGGCTTGGGGGTCTGTAGTAGACGCCTACAACGACATCTTTTTGAGTCCCAGTTCCCTTGATTCTTATCCAGATGATTTCAAGCTGGTTTCCCAGATTGCTGTCTTGAATCTCTTCTGCAGCATAAGAGTTTTTGACATATAAGGCTACTCCGCCTCCTCTCCCCTTTGTTCGGTTTCTGTGAAAGAGGTTATACCCCTCGATATCTACATTCCAGCGATAGGAGTCATCCCACCAGGTTTCAGTTATCCCTATGATATCATATTTGTGGTGTTGTGCTAAAAGTTGGAGTTCGTCTTGTTTATTTCCCATGCTCTGTGCATTAGTGTAAAGACATGTGAGCCCCTGGGATCTTCCCTTGAGCTGTTTAATTGGGATTATTGTGCTTTTGGTACTTGGTCCTTGTTGTGTTTGTGCAGCCCTCCGTTTAGCCTTCTGGCGATTCCCAGACATTATGGGTAAAGTAGTGTTCGCAAGGCTGTTGTCCCCCTCCCCCGGTGGACCTAGTTTAAAGTGCGTCTAATGAGGTTTGCGAGTCTGTGAGCAAAAAGGTGTTTTCCTACTTGTGTGAGATGCACCCCATCCCTTGCCAGTAGGCCATCCTCCTGGAAAAGCAGGCCATGGTCGAGGAAGCCAAAGCGTTCCTCCTGACACCATTTTTCTAAGCCAGTCATTGACCTGTACTATTTTTCTGGCTCTTGTGGGTCCGTGTCTTACAACAGGGAGGAGGGATGAAAAGACCACCTGTACATTACATTCTTTTAGCTTTGCTCCTAGAGCTCGAAAATCATTTGTGATCTTTTGAAACGTATGCCTTGCAGTATCATTGGTTCCTACATGAATCAACATGAGGGGAGGACGGTGATAGGGCTTGAGGAGCCTGGTGAGCCTCTGAGTGATATGGTGTATTTTTGCCCCCGGTAGGCAGCATATTTCTCGAGCCATCCCATCTGGTCTGGAAATGACAGCTTCCGTTCCTCTAAGGAGGGAGTCGCCTACTACCAAGACCTGTTTACTTTCGGGAATGACAGGGCCCCTTTTGTGCAATGTAGTGTGTAGGTCTCCAGAAAAGTGATCCTGTTGGTGTGAATTGTGTAGGTGAAAAGTGTTGTCCTCCTCCTCGACATCCCTGGTGCATTCGTCAAGGACAATCCATTGAGATTCGTCCAAGAGCCTATGGTTCTCCTGTATGTGTTCCTGTTGCTCCTGGTCTATGGTTGGGGATGGTACACCTGCAGGAATGTGCAAGTGTGAATGTTGTGAAGTGTTGTCCCAGTCAGGGCTATCCCCCGCACACTGATCAAGGATGAGCCACTGATCAGTATCTAAGCCATTCTGGTCTTCCCCAATATGTTGTGTTTCTTGGTCAGGTGCTAGTTGTGTGAGAATTTGGAATCTATTGTGTAACTGCAGCTGAGCGGAAGTATTCTGAGGAGGCTTCCGGGGCCTATGTGTCCTTCTAAGGGTGACATTTCTCCAAGCCTGAGGGTTGTCCACATCTGAGGTGCTGTTCTGTTGAGCCTCCCCGTAATGTTCGTGTGATATGGGCTGCGTGTCTAGGACAGTGTGGTGTGTCGTGTCTAAGAACAGCTCAAGTTCCTGAATGTCCTTAAGGGTGTTAATACGGTCCTCGAGTTGTCGTATCCTGTGTTCCATGCGAGTGATCTGTGTACACTTGGGGCAGATGTAATTGAGTAATTGTAGTGTGAAAAAGCTGAACATGCCACAGCTTGTGCATGAGACGGGAAGTTTTCGTGTTTGTTCCATCTGGAGGTTGCTAATGACCTCCTCTTGGTGTGTGTTTGATGTTGTCTGTATGCAGGGGTGAAAGTATAGGTTACTGAGTGTACGAGTACAAAGCAGTTAATTTTAAACTCAGGAAGCCCCTCCTCTCAAACAAAGCAGTTAATTTTAAACTCAGGAAGCTCCTCCTCTCAAACAAAGCAGTTAATTTTAAACTCAGGAAGCCCCTCCTCTCAAACAAAGCAGTTAATTTTTAAACTCAGGAAGCCCCGCCTCTCAAACAAAGCAGTGCTGAAAGCAGTTAAATTTAAACAAAGCTTACCCTGAAGCAGAAGGAAACAAAATGGGTTCCTGCTTCCTCAACTTCTGTGGAAAGCCCGGCTCATGTTACAGAAAACCAGAGTAGCTGGAATGTTAAATTGCCTCTGTGTCTGTCTATATATGTTGTATGTCTAAATGGCATTGAATGTTTGCCATGTATATGTGCATTGTGATCTGCCCTGAGTCCCTTATGGGGTGAGAAGGGCGGAATATAAATGCTGTAAATAAATAATAAATAAGGAGCACGGGCCCTTTAAATGCACTCCTAGCTGAAAAACCATGCACCATGGCAGTTAAAGTGGAGCTAAACCGCATTAATTCTAGAGTGTAGATGCCCCCCTAGTTACGCCTTATTCCTTTTTTCTGTAACATGGATATCATCTGTCTTTTGTTTTCTAGACTGTAGCATATATCAGAATAGCTTGTTGTTTATTAAGTTTCAGATGTGTTTTTGTTGTTATTTGTTCAGTTGCTTCTGACTCTTCATGACCTCATGGACCAGCCCACGCCAGAGCTCCCTGTCAGCCATCACCACCCCCAGCTCCTTCAAGGCCAATCCAGTCACTTCAAGGATACCATCCATCTTGCCCTTGGTCGGCCCCTCTTCCTTTTTACTTCCTTTTCCCCCAGCATCATTCTCTTCTGCATGCTTTCCTTTCTTCTCATGATGTGGCCAAATTACTTCATCTTTGCCTCTAATATCCTTCCCTCCAATGAGCAGTCGGGCTTTATTTCCTGGAGTATGGACTGGTTGGATCTTCTCGCCGTCCAAGGCAGTCTCAGAATTTTCCTCCAACACCACAGTTCAAATGCATCTATCTTCCTTTGCTTAGCCTTCCCTATTGTCCAGCTCTCACATCCGTAGGTGACTATGGGGAATGCCATTGCTTTAACTATGCAGATCTTTGTTGCCAGTGTGATGTCTCTACTCTTCACTATTTTATTGAGATTGGACATTGCTCTTCTCCCAAGAAGTAAGCTTCTCCTGATTTCCTGGCTGCAGTCTGTGTCTGCAGTCATCTTTGCACCTAGAAATACGAAGTCTGTCACTGCCTCCACACTCTCTCCCTCTATTTGCCAGCTATCAATCAGTCTTGTTGGAGCCCCCGGTGGTGCAGTGGGTTAAACCTCTGTGCCGGCAGGACTGAAGACCGACAGGTCGTAGGTTCAAATCCAGGGAGAGGCGGATGAGCTCCCTCTATCAGCTCCAGCTCCTCATGCGGGGACATGAGAGAAGCCTCCCACGAAGTTGATAAAAACATCACATCATCCGGGCGTCCCCTGGGCAACGTCCTTGCAGACGGCCAATTCTCTTACACCAGAAGCGACTTGCAGTTTCTCAAGTCACTCCTGACACGACAAAAAAAAATCAGTCTTGTTGCCATAATTTTGGGTTATTTTATGTTTAGCTGCAACCCAGCTTTTGCACTTTCTTCTTTCACCTTGGTTAGAAGGCTCCTCGGCTCCTCATCACTTTCGGCCATCAAAGTGGTATCATCTGCATATCTGGTTGTTAATGTTTCTTCCAACAATTTTTACCCCTGCCTTGCATTTGTCAAGCCCCGCACATCACATGATGTATTCTGCATACAAGTTGAATAGGTTGGGTGAGAGTATACAACCCTGCCGTACGCCTTTCCCAATCCTGAACCAGTCTGTTGTTCCATGGTCAGTTTTACTGTTGCCACTTGGTCCTTATACAGATTCCTCAGGAGAGAGAGAGAAGGTGACTTGGTATCCCCATACCACCAATGATTCCATAGCATCCAGCTATTGAGGTTAAAGTGGTGTCAAATTGCATTCCTCCTACAGCCTAGGCGCACACTGAGCACAATGTTTTGGAATGTTCTGGAATGTGTCCAGAGGAGGGCGACTAAAATGATCAAGGGTCTGGAAAACAAGCCCTATGAGGAGCGGCTTAAGGAGCTGGGCATGTTTAGCCTGAAGAAGAGAAGGCTGAGAGGAGATATGATAGCCATGTATAAATATGTGAGAGGAAGCCACAGGGAGGAAGGAGCAAGCTTGTTTTCTGCTTCCTTGGAGACTAGGACGCAATGGAACAATAGCTTCAAACTACAAGAGAGGAGATTCCATCTGAACATGAGGAAGAACTTCCTGACTGTGAGAGCCGTTCAGCAGTGGAACTCTCTGCCCCGGAGTGTGGTGGAGGCTCCTCCTTTGCAAGCTTTTAAACAGGGGCTGGATGGCCATCTGTCAGGGGTGATTTGAATGCAATATTCCTGCTTCTTGGCAGGGGGTTGGACTGGATGGCCTACGAGGTCTCTTCCAACTCTTTGATTCTATGATTCTATGATTCTATGATCCTTTAGAGTTTGGGGACTTCAACTCCCAGTATCTCTAATCCTAGCTCACAGCAGCTGAGGCTTCTGGGAGTTGAAGTCCAAAATACCTAGAGTAACTGCGTTGAGGGCAATGGCCCGCGTTGATCTCTTCTGAACGGCTTGACGTCACACCCCGAACCCCGCCTGTTACTCTCTGTTATAGGCCTCTTCTTCAGCAACGGAATCATTTGGGTGTTGCACCCTCTTCGCCGGAAGTGCGGCGAGGCTCTTGCGGAAGTGCGGGGCGGAGCTCTCTCTCTTTCGTTGTGGCGGCTGAAGGAAGATGGTGAGTGTGGAAGTTGGGAGAGGAGGGATCCGTTGCCATCCTCCGCACTCCGAGGCCTTCAAGCCGGGAGCCTTTGAGCAGGGCCTTGCCCACAGCCTCTACCAAAGGCGGAGCACTATATTTCTTCCCCACGCTGCGTGTCGTGGCGGCTGTGAGCTGCCTTTGGAGCCCTCGACTCCAGGCCCATTTCAGAGGCCCCTTCCCCAAGCCTAGTTCTTTTCTATAGGGCTCTTAAGCATGGGGAAGGAGCCTAGCTTGTTGGGAGCGAGGCCTAGGCGGCCTAAATGAGGTGTCATTTGGATGGATTCCCCTGTATAATAGAAATATGTTTATATTTGTGTGTGTGTGTTTATAGATAGACTAGCCATCCCCTGCCACGCGTTGCTGTGGCCCAGTCTGGTGATCTGGAAAATAAAGTAATAAGAAAGTGTTGGTTTCTAATATGTAATGCCTTTATGCTTGTGGATAAACAGTATTTCTTGTTTCTTTGTCAGTGTTGATGTGGAGAGTGTCTGGTTTGCCTACTCTGGAATATGCAACATATAGTCCTTCTTTAGGGGTTCCTTTCAAATCTATGATACTATATTTGTGTGTGTGTGTGTGAATCTATCTATAGTTATGAGTGGATGGGTCTTTGTCAGGAAGGCTCTGATTACGTTTTCTTGCCCTGGTGAAGAGAGTTGGACTGGATGGCCTTAAGTATTTTGGTCATGGGGGTTCTGTGTAGGGAATTTGGCGTTTGTGGGATTCAGAATGCTCTTTGATTGTAAGTGAACTATAAATCCCAATAACTACAAATTTCAAATGCCAAGGTCTATTTCCCCCAAGCTCCATCTGTGTTCCTAGTTGGGTATATGGAATATTCGTGCCAAGTTTGGCCCAGATCCATCATTGGTTGAGTCCACCCTGCCCTCTGGATATAGGTGAACCACAACTCCCATACTCAGGGTCAATGCCCACCAAACCCTTCTAGTGTTTTCTGTTGGTCATGGGAGTCCTGTATGTCATCTTTGGTTCAGTTCCATCATTGCTGGAGTTCAGAATGCTCTTTGATTGTAGGTGAACTATAAATCCCAAGAGCTACAACTCCCAAATGACAAAATAAAAAAAATTGAGTGGACATACATTGGGTTGTTAGGTGCATGCTGTCCAAATTTGGTGTCAATACGCTCCCTGGTTTTTTAATTCTGTTAATCCCACAAACATTACATTTTTATTTATATAGATAGATAGGTTCCCATGAATTGTTTGTAATATCTGTGGTGTTTATTATTGTTGAAGAATCAGTGTTATGGTGAATTCCAAATTCCATTTTTGAATTAACAGCATTAACTCCTGTATTCAAACAGTAGTTGCTGCTGCTCACATTGTGGAAGCGTAGAGTTGCAAGCTGCATTTCGACCCCATCCACACTGCCGTATAGTCCAGTTATTGAATGCAGATTAAGTGTATTGATACATGGCAGTGTAGACTCAAATGATGACATTCAAAGCAGTTCATCTAATTAGAGTTCATTTCTTAAGCAACAAGTAGTAAGTGGTGCAAGGATCAAGGCAGCATGGAGTGAGGGCCAAACCACCTGGTTAACATTGTGTGGTTGCAGCCACGGTGGGGCAACTGCTAGGTGAATAAAGGAGCAAAAGTACTACTCCTTGCTGTGGGTTGTTGGAGTGGTTTGTTAGAGAAGTGTGGAGAAAGGCGGTGCGTTTGGAGGAAGGAGTTTGGAGTTCTACAAGACTTGTGGCTCAAAGAGAACAATTAAAATCTGTATGTATATATGTTCTATTCTATATAAACTCTGCAAATGCTCGTTGGTCAAAGGCAAAAGGCTTCCGCATCTTCATCACGAGAATCTGCATTCTGAAACTGGATTATATGGCAGTGTATAACTAACCTTACTTTTTTGCCACACTTTTCTATCACAACAGGTCTTCCATTTCCAAGGATTAAACCATCCACATATTAATTATAATCAAAAATTTCTATAATGTCCGGTGTAGTAGTAATAGTAATACATCATCATCATTATTATTATTATTATTATTATTATTATTATTATTATTATACTTTATGTGGAGCAGTGCTAGTCTTGTCAAAGTACAAGTGCAACCGCCACTTAAAAGTTTTCTGTTGTAATTTTGCCACAATTTTCTGCTACAGTCAGCTTTCTATTTCCACAGATTCTGTATCCATGGATATATTTTTTTTAAAAAAATCTAAATAACACTTGATTTGTCATTTTATAAAAAGAGCACATTTAACTATGACATTGTGTATAATGTGACTTCAATATCCACAAGGATCCTGGAGCAAATCCCTAGGATCCACTGTATTGGATTCCTTAACCCTGTTAAAGATTTTTCTGCTTTTTGGCAAACAAAATGAAACGAGTCATAGCATCATAATATGTTTTAAGTGTATATACATTTGGAGAGGGGTACCTTGTATATGATGCTCTCAATAGGATCAGAGACTTTTTGTTGAATTGTTGCCTTTTCTCCTTTAGAATGGTCCTTAAGCATTGAATCAGGATTTCAGAATGTATTCAATGCAAGCATGTTTCTGAACCCTAAATTAATGGGAACAGATGGACTTACCACTGTTCCTATAGGGCAGTAGGATTCTGGACTAGATAGACTTTTCCTTTGCAGGGTGGTTTTTATGTTTCTATAAGAGGAAGCCTCACCATTTGCTTATCCAAATGTGTGCAATTTATAGCACTCTTTTGCTGCCTGGTAACTTCCCAATATTTTGGGCCTTTATTGCCTATTCTGGGGTGTGTGTGTGTGTGTGTGCATGTACACTGTAGAATTGGTGCAGTTTGCCTCTACTTCCACTACCATGGTTCGATGTTTAAAATTGTGGGAGTTGTAGTTTTACAAGATCATTAGCCTTTTCTGAGAAAAAGTAGGTACTTCACCAAACTACAACTCCCAGGATTCCATAGCATTTTGTGCACTATATTTCGAATAAATGCAGCATGCAAACTACAGAGTGTTATCTCCATCCTACAGTTAGGAGGGAGATCTGAATTAGCCGTGATTAATATGCCACTTGCTAAATCCACAGTAGCAGTGGGAAGTAAGATTTCACTGCTCTCATCTTTAATGACTGCTGCATCAACTTGAGATCTTTTCCTCTCACGTAATGTTTTGTTCTTTTCAAAATTAATGTAGTCATTTATGTAAACTAATTTGCCAATTTATTTTCAGACGAAAGGAACATCATCCTTTGGTAAGCGTCGCAATAAGACGCACACTTTGTGCCGTCGATGTGGGTCTAAGGCCTACCACCTCCAGAAGTCCACCTGTGGGAAATGTGGATATCCTGCTAAACGCAAGAGAAAGTGTAAGTGCAAAACTTTCTGAAATAGAGAAATAGCTTAACACTTAACGTACCTAGTGCTATGATACCTTTCTGCTTTGAAAGTCACAATACTATTGATAGATAGGCAGTCCCAAGTTACAAACATCCAACTTGAATACAACACGTAGTTAAGAATTATTTATTTATTTATTTATTTGCTTTGCTTATATACCGCTGTATCTCAAGCCCGAAGGCGACTCACAGCGGTTCACAAACAGTAAAAACAGTAGAAACAGCAGTGGTTCCATGCAACATATAACAATTGACTTAACACATTATCCATAAATTACCAATAAGCAATTACAATGCACAATTATTACGAAAAACAACCGTACCCAATCTTCTCATCATCCAAGCGTAGTCCAGGTTCGTCGTCCATTGTTCCATTCCTATGTTCCATTACCAGATTGCACTAAATTACTCAAACGCCTGCACAAACATCCAGGTCTTCACCTTTTTGCGGAATACCATTAGAGATGGTGCTAGTCTAATGTCCGTAGGAAGGGCGTTCCACAGCCGAGGAGCCACCACCGAGAAGGCCCTATCTCTCGTCCCCACCAGCCGAGCTTGAGAAGCAGGCGGGAGAATGGGTGAGACAACAGGAAGTGAGAGAAATCTAGGAAAGGAAATTCACTCCTTAAAGAGTTATCGTCGTAGAACTTAAAAACAAACCTACAGGACATATCTTGTTCGTAACTTGGGGATAAATGAACATACTAACTCCAGATGTTTTCTTGAATGTAATAAAATTATATTTACATGGTCTTCTGTATAACAAATTTGTCCTAAGTTTGTTTATTTCGTGTCAAAAGCATTGCATAAATAAACAGGTATAAAACTGATAAAATAGAAGGAACACAAGCGGCTAAATAATTTAAGAACAGAAATGGGCAACAAGGACCTCATTGTCTGTAGCTTTAAACATTTCCTCTGTGCATGAGACGGCATTGTGGGCAAGCATACAGATGCTGAGTTGTTTGTTCTGCTCCACAGTCGCACAAGGTGGAGGATTCTGCCCTAAGTAACCAAGGATCATACATGCAACCCAGCAAGCAAAATAGGGACATGTCTTTTATGGATTTTTTTAGTTACTTGTGTTGTTTAAGGTGGTTATTGTTTTATTGTTTTAGTTTATTTTGATTGTTGTGCGATTTACACAGTTGTAAACAGATTGGGCAAGGTATAAATAAAGTTTTTGTATTATGTCTTTTAATAATACTCTGTTTATTTTCATGGCATAAAACAAACCACCTTCAGATGCAATATCATGGTGTTCAGATTGCTTCCATATCCTATGATAATAAAACTTGTGTGCCTTTATTGATACATGTGGTTTATTATATATATGGTATAGTATTTATCCCTGATTCTTCCATGTTATTAATGTTTCCTGTCTTGACCTTTTTGAAGAGAAGCAGCATTATGTGGTGAGGGTTAGATATTGTTTTAGCCTCCCTCATCTCTGAAACAAAACCAGCATTGACTGGAAATCTTCAAGTTTTAATAAACCTCTTTTTGGAAGATGGATTGTAGCACAAGAGGGTTTTTATAATTTGGATTATCTGTACCTGAAGTTTTCCAGGACCATAATTTCTTTTGTAGCCAAATGGTGGCAGGAGTACAATTCTGAGGTTGGCCTGATAAAGCCATGAAGGACTGCATCTATTGATGTGGATTGATATTCAGGAAAGTACTTGTAATGAAGTCTTAATGGAGCTGCATGTTTTTTTCATCTCTCTACTTAAAAAAAAACCATTTATTCACCTAGTGTGGTACTGTATACTATATTGCAGGGGAATCAATTGGCAAAAGCATCTCTGCCTAAGACAAAGCTATGAAATTTATAGGATTGCCAGAAATTAACAAGTAACTTGGAAGGCATGCACAGAGACACTTCCACGCTTGATTATGTAGCTCCTGGCATTATATTTAACTCATTACAGGTTTTTTAATTGCCTGCTTTATAGTTCAAGGATATAAATAGGCAGAGAGAACCACACTAGGTATACCAATCACCTTTGTGGAAGGGCAAAACATAAGCGTAGTATATAAATTCAGATTGCATATCACTACCTTTGAAGTAATGCATGACTTAACAGTAATTCATTCTTTTATCTACCAGATAACTGGAGTGCTAAGGCCAAGAGGCGCAATACTACTGGCACTGGCCGCATGAGGCATTTGAAAAAGGTCTACCGCAGATTCAGGTACAGTATAAAAATTTATTGTTAGACAAAATGTGTACTGGAACTTTATGAAAATCTTTAATATAGCATCTATGTGCATAGTTTTACTGTTGATGACTTTAAAAGAATATGCTTATTATATATATAGCTCATGTCTTTCTTTAGCAGTTATTGAATTCATATTATTTATTATTATTATTATTTATTGCATTTGTTAACCGCCGCTCTCAGCCCTAGGGCGACTCGCGGCGGTGTACAACATATAAAAAACAGTATACAATAGGGCATCACAATATCAACAATATTTAAATGATTGAGAAGTTGGTGACATTTTTTAAAAAGCTACCTTGCAGTTTTAAACACGATGAGCTACTGTACCTGATCTAGGGTCAGTTTTATATCAAAAACTGCAGATATCACATCAAAAACAGTGATTTGTGGGTGGTGATGGAGGGTCTTAGTCATGAAAAATGAGGATATATTGGTCTTTGGCTTCCATATGTCATTAAAAGGATGCCAAGATTCCACTGGATTCCTCAGAAAGCATTTGAATTTTGTAATGGTTGGCAAGTGCTTCGATTGACCCATTCATTTGCAATTCCATTCATTCCTGCTGCTCTTGGTATTGTTTTTAGGAGCAATAAAAAAAAAAGAACAAACACAACTCTATGGGTTTGAAATCTACTTTTTGCTATTTTAGTAACAAACCAATGTTGTAGTTCATTTTTATTTTTGGTATTTTTTTCACTTTTGGAAAATAGCTGGAAAGTCTACTCATAGGATGATGTCTTTGCTGCATTTTAAAGTAGCAAAGATAGCTGTGGTTTGAAACTTGTTGTTTTTTAATCACACCTTAAAATGCCAAGTGTGTATGACGAAATTGTAACTAATGGCACATGGCTAGTGAAAGCTTATGAGGATTTTGTCAGCCTATCCGTGATGTTTTCATTACAAAAAAAAATGTCTGAACATATGAGTTCTAGTGATTTTACATTGTAACTGAGATAAGCTGACTCCCCACCCCCACCCAGTTATTAAAGACAGAGAAACAGTTGCATTCAGAAAGTTCTCATTCTTTTTTGTTTTGTTTGTATGTACAGGAATGGATTCCGTGAAGGGACAGCACCAAAGCCCAAGAGAGCTGCTGTTGCTGCTTCCAGCTCATCTTAAGGACTCAAGTGTCTGTTTGAAATAAATGATGTCAACCGTGAGAAAAGTTGTCGTCTTCATATATTTGTCAGTGTCCAATATTTTTGAAAGTTTATTCCAAGTTTGATTGTTCATATTGTCCTGATGAGGAGCATAACACGAAACCACTATGGCAGTTCTTTTTCACATACCGAAAACGTAGTTCTTAAACTTTGTAGCTTTTCTGTGACACTGTACTTGGATATACTTTGTCTTAGATTAAAATGAAAGATGTGTGGTGATCATTTGATCAAGAAACATAATCTAGTTTTAATTTTAATGTAGTGTTCATAGCTCATTTTATATATTATATTCAGTAAACCCGTTTGGGTTGTAGCTCTCAACCTGCTTCCATGGAAATGTACCAAAATTAATGCCAGAATGTCTTAAAAATAAGTTCAGTGCTGCCTAATAAAAGTACATTCCATCTTTAATTTATTAATGCATCTGATCAGGGATAGAAAGAATTCAGACTTCATAGAGAGAAAAAATGAGTTTTTACTAACACTTTATACAATCCAATATCTCTTCATTGTAATGCAAATATCTGCATGTGGAGATATACTACTCTAGCATCAAACAAACCTTCTGGAGAACAGTGACAACGCACAATATGTCATACTGCAACCTTGTAGAATGAACAACTAAAATTTCAGATTTTTTATTGCAAGAATTATTGTACCCTTGTACTGTTCAAGTTGCTATCACTGACTTGCTCTTTACTCTTACGTATTTGTTTTTAAACACTGCTGAAACATTAAAAAGGGATGCGAGATCTTGCTGCATCTATACAAGCATAAATTATATGTAAGGTAAATACTGGATTTTGTATCGCTCTTGCATCATTTGAAAATCCCAAGTCCCTCTTGAAGTGAAGTACAGTATGTCAGAAAATAATTCAGGCCTCTGAAAAATACAGATGGTTGTTTCAAAGATGAAAAATAGTGAAGCCACATCTTGAAAATTACTAGGCCATTAAGTGCTAATCAAGGTGGCCAGTTGAAACATTCCCAACTACCTCCAACAGACAAGAGTTATTTCTCCCACCCTGGACCTTCCACAAGGTCCAGGGTGGGAGAACCCAATTTCTTAGCTTTCAACAAACCTCAGAACCTCTGAGGATGCCCGCCATAGATGCAGACAAAACATCAGGAGAGAATGCTTCTGGAATGTGGCCATACAGCCTGAAAAATTTACGGCAACCCAGAGGTATACTTTTTAAATTACTTCAAATAGTATTGTACAATATGAATGTGCTAAACAGTTTAAAGAAAAGTGCTGTATATATTGATTCACTAATATAGATGTTTAAGCCATATTGGGTATAGGAATACTGAAACAAGCATAGTATGTGCTTTTATTTGTATGTCTTATTATGCAGCATCATATTGTTGCCTACTTGTAAGTCACTCTGAGTCCCCTTCGGGGTGAGAAGGATAGGGTATAAATATAGTAAATAAATAAATATTTTCAACAGGGATCACTTTAAAAGGTAGTTTTCAAAGAGACAGCCCTACAGTATGTAAGAGCAAAGGAGGGAGGGGGGAGGAGGAAGTTACTCCTTTATTTTAGCCTGGATTTTCATAGATTTGAAAAATACTCTAAAATTGCATGGGCCCCTTTATGTCACAAACAAAATACTGGTTGCCTCAGTGAAAAGAGCTGGATAGGCAAATATAAGGGAGAGGAAATATATTTTATGACCAATTTGCACTATGGATGGAAAATCCAATATGCATCTAAAGAGAACAGTCCCTTTACAAATGCTGCTTTGCAATCTGATCAGACTCTTTATAGATCCGTAGCATCAACCTAGAAAGTGGTCAGTTCATTTCATGCTCAGATGGAACTGCTGGAGCAGAAAATCAGTGGTGCCTGAAATTAACACCAAAGAATGTTGCACTGGCTTTTTTTAATATGCAGAATTAAACTTATTAGTTTGTGGTATATGGTTTTCCACATTTTGAGGAAGCATCCATTCTAGTTGGAATTGCATCTGACACCAGTGTGAAAAGCTACATATTGCTTCCTGTTTAAAGGTATGCTCCAGTTACTATTGAAGGACTAATGCTATAGAACAGTGGTTCCCAACCATTTTTTGACCAGGGACTGCTCTCCAACATTAGTACCAAAAGGGTTACGAATCAGTTTTTGGTGAACCTTGGATTCGATTTGGTTATTTGGAGTGCTGATTCAGAAAATTGCATTGGATAGACAACATCAGTTCTAGTTTCTGATACAGAACATATGCCATCCAGTAGTTGCCATCTGCTCACCCACGGAAAACCATATTTAATAAACGTTGGCACTTTAAGAGGATTTCGTGAGACCAGTTGCTCTTGTTGCAATGGTGTAGTAACAGTGAGGGCGTGGACCATATTTTAGTTCTTGTGGACCACTGGTTGGGAACCACTGCTATAGAACTTACTAAATTGTGTTCCCCCTTGCTTTTATCAATTCAAAATGTATATTTCTCTAAAGTACTTACTCCCAAGTATTGTCTGACTTGGCCATCCTTAAACAAGATTAATATATCTAATTTGAACAAAACAAGCATGCTATTAACAGTGTAGCAGTACAGTTACTATTTAATATCCTACCTTCACCACTCAAAAGTGGCTTCTTGTGTGCCTTCAAGCTGTTTCTGGTTTATGGCAACCCTAAGGGAGTCCCATTATGAGGTTTTTGAATACAAATTAAGCTAAAACCAGTCATGTATATAATTGTATGAGAAAGTGTTCCTAGATAGTCTTGATTGTCATGATTCACCCACCTCCAAAGGAACTGTCAGAATAGATGTCAATTCAGTAACAACCCTAGTTCTGTGGCAAAATTCTAAATACCTTACTGATTTCATAGATGAAACAAAGTCTAGAGCATTTATCAAAAATTACGGTCACACTTTATTTCTTGTTTTACTTTAGTGCTATCTCTGAAATCGTGGGTGGAGAAGAGCAGTATATACTGGTTTTAAGGTTATTGCTGTAGAGGAGGGTTAACGGTCATAAATGGTAAAAGCTTGCATGATGTTTTGTGAGGTTCCAGTCATCATATGAAATGTCTTTTGTGATATTGGGTCAGTCACCTCTCTCAACCTTGAGCTCACTGGAGGAAAAGGGGCAGATATCATCAAAATTAAAACCACATTTCTAAAACAAGTTCTTGGGAGCTTCTACCATTAGCCTTATAAACATCAAATGAGGTGTTTCCGAGACTAAAGCAAACCAGTCTTTTTATTTTTAATGCTCTTGTGGTTAATGTTCACTGCAAGTGTAAACTGAGCGCTTGTGGTTCCAGCATAACTGGGACTTTGCACATTCAGTTCTCTGGGTTAAAGAGCCCAAAAACAACACTAATAAAGGTAGCGACTGAGATGTGGGTTCACTCGTTTTGCAAGAGATGAATATACAAAACTTCCTTTTTAGTCTTTTTTCTAATGCAAAGTCTATAGGATTGTATGTAATCTTTGGATTTGCATTTTATGGAGGGACATTTCCAAGTTTCAGCTGGAGAGCTCACAAATCCCAGAATCCACAGGATGTTGCCATAGCAGCTAAAGTGGAATATAGTGCTATAATGGCATAGTTTGATAGGAACTCTAGTGTTGTCATCTCACTGATGCACCATGAATACAGTCAGTCCTCTATACTTGTTGGGAATAGGGGCATAGGACCCCTGTGAGAGTGAAAAACTATGAAAGAAGAAATTACTAGATTATGATCTGAAAAAAATACCTCTCTAGAAATATATAGGTCTCGGCGGTGGCCGGGGAGCTTTCACACAATTAAAACTTGTGCACCAGCTGCCCCCTTATCTTGGGAGAACTGACTTGAATAGATTACTTCAACACACTATGTGGGGTTGCCTCTGAAGACTGCTTGGAAGCTTCAGCTAGCCCAACGCTCGGTGGCCAAGTTGCTCAAAGGAGTGGGTACGTGCAACTCCTGTTACGCTAGCTTCACTGGCTGCCTATTAGCTTCCAGGCACAATTCAAAGTGCTGGTCTTAACCTATAAAGCCCTAAATGGTTCAGGCTCAGTTTACCTGTCTGAACATATCTCCCTGACAAACCACCAAGGACCATAAGATCATCTGGAGAGGCCCTGCTCTCGGTCCCACCGCCACTGCAGTCACGTTTGGTGAGGATGAGAGACAGGGCCTTCTCTGTGCTGGCCCCCCAGCTGTGGATCTCCCTCCCTTATGAGATAAGATCTGCTCCATCCCTCCTGATCTTCAGGAAGAAACTCATATCCTGGCTGTGGGATCAAGCGTTTGCAGAACAGACTGATTTACTGGTGAAGATAGTTAGTGGACCACAATGGACTGTTTTGGATGACGATTTGAACTGGCAAACTCTTTTAATGTATATTTATAACTATTTTAATGTATACTAATTGTATTTTATATTATGTTGTTATATTGTGTCGGCATCAAATAGTTGCCTGTTGGAAGGCATCCTGAGTCCTTTGGAGGTTGAGAAGTATGGGGTATAAATGTTCTAAATAAATAAATAAACTTTTGCTGAAAGCTGATCATGGAATTGAACTGAAGGATCTAGAGTAGAGTTTTGTGTGTCATGACATGTTAAGTATGTTAACTGCAGTGTGTAGGTTTCTCACACAAATGTAACAAACCTCTGAGTCTTATCTGAAATAATCAATAAATCATATATTTTAAATATATAAATGGAAGGTTTTCATGAGGTATGTTGTGTCCTCATACATTTCATTATTACAATTTATGTATTGTATCTCTTATAAAGGGTTGGTTTAACCTCCTGTTTTATAATAAAGGTGAATTATTGTGTCGCAAAATGGATATCTAACAACAACAGGAAATGTTTGGAGAGCTCTTGTCGAAAGATTTCTAGAAAGATATTCATAAAAGTCAAACTGCAAAATGTGGAGGCATGACTGTATTGTGTTTCTGACAGTTTTCTGGTGAAATGTGCAATTTGGTTTCTCTCTTCCCCTTCCTTCCTTTTCTGGTCTCTGGTGTAAAGTCGCTGGCCAGACATGCAAAAACTGGT